TTTCTTTAGGAATAAATTAAAATTTAGAGTGTGTGCATGTGTGTGCAAATGTATTTGCTCAAGTGCATGAGATTGTGTATATGTGGGTGTGTACAAGTGTGTATGTGTGTGTGATGTCACATGGTTTTTAAAAAAAGAAACCACAACTTAGAAATCCCATTAGTTGTACATTCTGAGGTGTTGTGGTCATTTCACATGGTCTTTATGTTAAAATCTGAGATTCAAATTTAAATAACATAAAAATTATTTTCAAATATCAATCCAGGAACAGTTGCCAATAGAAACTTATCATTTCCTTTTCATGAACTACACTTTAATGGAGAAATTAGAATATTTTGGTTACTTTTCAATTTTTCACACTGATTTATTTAATAGATAACAAAAGTCATTTCTAGAAATAACTTTATCTGATTAACCTCTAAGAAGATTGTGCTTTGTATTTTTTAACTGTGGACAAGTTTTAAGTACTACTGTTTTTGAAAGGCAAATGTAATTTGGATTCTATCTTGATAATAATGATAAAATATGGCAGGCTGAATGGTCTCACTGTGTGGGACATGAAGACAAGATGAGCTCTGATTTTGCTCCCTTGCTCCTTGGGATTGTTCTTTCACTTGACTTCCCTCATGCTGTCTCCACCACTGCTCCTGCCCTCCGGGTCCTCAGCAGCTCTCTGGGCTCTTCCTCTCACCTCTGCCTCCTCTGCTTCATGGTCATCACAAAGGCCAGGCTTTAGAACCTTCTTCAATCTGCTCATTTTCCTGAACAAGTGCTCCCCTGCATGTGAGTCTGAGCTCTCTGTCCTGTTGAGACCTAGCTCTGGAGGTTACCTTTCAGCTCAGGGGGCTGCAACTACCCCGACTAAGCCATGGTACTATAAATGTCATTGACTCCTCTCCATTCCAGGAGCTGGGAGTTCCAGCATGAAGGCATCAGCAGACTGGGTGTCTAGTGAGAATGCGATTCCTTGCACAGAGGTGGCTGTCTTTGACTAGCCTCTTTTCTTAGGGTGCTGATTTCAATCAGTGTGGCACACAGCTCACAGGGCTATAGCCATGGCAGTTGTCCAAGGCCCCTTGTATGACATCTGAGAGCTCAAACTGGTACCATTGCCTTGGGTGTTAGAGAACTTGTTGGATATAAATATTAATATCACAGCAATAGGTCCTCCTTGAAGTCTCAGTAGCTCTTTAAAACCAGCATGTGAAAAACATACTGCTGCAACACTTCTGACTTGCTGTTCCCGACACCCTCGGCTCTCATTGTCAAAGCCTTGCAATGCCTGAGTCTCTCTTTTCTTCCACGCCCCATTCATGATTCCACCCTCTGTGTTCACTTCCCCATAACTACTGTTCCCACTCAAGGCCCTCCATCCTGAATCAGCCTTTTTTCTTAAACCCTTGCTTTCATTGGGACAATTAATTCCTCAGAATTCAAGAGAAGAACACAAGTAGGTATGAATTACTGCTACAAAGTAAAGATAAGTGAGTGGTGAAGTGAGGCCCAGGAGAATGGTGAGGATGGGAGGCTGGAAGAGAATGATAGCAGGAGATGGTATGCAGAATGTGGGCCTGCTAGCGAAGGGGAAAGGGGGCAACCAGGAGGAAGGAAACAAGTTTTTGTTTAACATGAGCAAAATGCACAATTTTATATTTTTCTGTGAATAAAACCAAATAATAAACCAAAACTTTATTATGGGAGAAACAAGACAACATATTATTATAATAACCACTAAATGTGTGTGTACAGAGATGGTATGCATATTACAAGACACAATATAGACATAGCTAGATTCTGTATTTCCCAACACAAAACTACCATACTAAGGACCACCAGAAGCCTGATGGTTGACGCTGACATTCTCAGGGAGTAGAACCCTACTGCTTTTGAGTCAGGTCCCATCACAGTTGCGATTTGAGAGTACCCAGATCATGCCAGGCATTGATCTGGCCAGGCAGTGAGCGTATGGAAGTAGCAAAGAACCCACAGCTGCCCTCATTTGCAGCCTTACACAGCCATGTGCATTAGTTCTTGACACAAGCTTAGGGAGAGCCCAGAGTAGTCCAGTGAGCTCTGCCCTGAGTTTCAGAACAGGCTAGGTGGGACAAAGAGGAGAAACCAGGCACAGAGAAGAGGCAGCAGTGCCCAGCCCAGACATTGAATCTGAAGCTAGAGAAACATTAATGCCGGCCCAGTGCTTCGCTACTGACCATGTGAATTTGAGCACAGAGAGCCCCCACTCTCTCCTAATAAAAGACAAAATATGACTTGCTGCAAGGACTCATCATGAGTTAGAAATACAGTCCACTCTGTCTCAGCTTGTTACTGATGGTAACGATGGCTCCAGCACCCGACACAAGCCAAGGATGCTTCCACTGTACAACTAGTCTAAAGCCCTTCAATGCTGTCCTGAAGAGCTCAAGCTGCACCTCAGAGGTGCTAGAGAGTGGCTCCAAATTTTGGCAGGGAGACAGTGTCATCGGATTTGTGTTTCAGAAGCTTGCTGACAGCAGTGGGATGACCTAGCAGCAAAGAGCTGGACAGAAAAGCATGTGTGGATTCGCTCCCCAACAGTGGCCATTACTCTCCACAATCATGCTGTTATTAAAACATGATACATGAGAGGAACAATTGCATCTGTCCTTTTTTGAAACAGACCACAATAGTGTAAGTAGAGATAAGAACCTGAGATTTCCACGCTCATTCCCAGACCTGCTCAAGTTATAGATTCATAATGTTTAATATCAAAAAGACCCTAGGCAAATGAGCTCTTTTTTTTTTTCAAGACAGGATTTCTCTGTGTAGCCTTGGCTGTCCTGGACTCACTTTGTAGGCCAGGCTGACCTCAAATTCACAGAGATCCGCCTGCCCCTGCCTCCCTGAGTGCTGGGATCGCAGGTGGGCATCACCATGCCAGGCTCCACTTATTTTAAAATTATTTTACCTCTTAAATTAAAAGTTCTTAGCATGAGGTCTGTCCGTGAGTGAGCTTCAAAAAGTCCCTAAAATCAGAAACAAAACTATAAGCATGCTTTTTCCCTTTTAGAGGGTGACCACATAGCATTCGTTACATGGTCAAAGAGGTTTGAGATCCAACCCCCAAATTAAAAACTATTGTCCGTGTGTGTGTAGAAAAGACCTTGTATTGAAAGGTTTGTCTGTTTTAGTTTAGTTTGTTTTTTTATTATTGTTGCTGGGTTTTGTTGTTTTTAAAACAGAGTCTCATACTATGTCCCAGGCCAACCTTGAACTTATGATCCTCTTATCCCAGTTTCCTGGGTGCTATAATTACAGGCAGGTGCCACCATGCCTTGTATATTTTTAATGAGCCCTAACTTAGACATTATGCTTGAACCTGTGGCTCTTGGCTATACAGTAGGCATTTTGGACTTAGATCCCAGGTTGAGCTCCAGGGCTTCCCCCTAAACACCTGCACCATCTCTTAGAACTAACTGCTCAGACTCCTTAGGGATCCTTTTCATTTTCTCATGCTTTGCATCTAACCCCTCAGGGCCATGACCTCTATTTTCAGAACCTACCTGGAATCCATCATTTCACTCACCAACTGCTTCCACCCTGACTTAATTCTCCATTGCTGTTTCCCAGTAAACCAGCTGGTCCTGACCAGCCTCTCCTTGTCTGCCTTGCTCTTGTCTAGTCTGTGACCAAAGCAGTGCCTGCTCCGCGCCCCTAGCAGCTTCCCCTCTCAGTGGACCCTACACTACTCCACTGACTGGGACACTCCACAGAACCTGACCCTATTGTTCGCCCTCTGCTGCATCTCCACAGTGACCTCTGTGGCTTCGCCAAAGCCTTCACACATGCAGCGAGTGTCCTCTGCCTAGAGGAAAGCTTCCCTGCAGATCTGTGCGGCCTACGCTCTCCCATGAGGCAAACATTCGCTCTGATGACCCTTCTTGAGCCATCTGTTTTAGAATTGTAACCTCTCCCCACAATCGCCGCTCCTCTGCTGTGTGACCAAGGATGTGTATTACACTCATTATTTGCTCACTCTCCCACGTTATAATGTAGGTCTGGGGAATCAGGGAGGTATTTTTGTTTCTCTCCTCGTGACATGTAGGGCTCCCATCAAAATCTCAGCAGAGTGCAGCAATATTGATGGATGAAGTTCATTCAGAGACTCCTCACCATTGTTGCTATTACCACCCCATGCTCTCTGCTCACTATAACTTTCTGTGTATTGTTTCTATAATTATGCAGGACTATTCTAGTATATTCTGCATCTTTTCTAAATTACCCTTTGCTTAAAATGAAGACTGACAAAATGATCACTGTAGCTCTTTGTGAGCTTTCAGCCTCCCCATATTAACCTGGAAACTGCTTCTAACAGCTCCTTGGCAACTAAAAGGTCATCTCTGCCCACAAATCAGAGGTTCTCCAAATTCCACACCAGAGCTGCTGTGGAGATTCCTTTAAGTTTGCTATAAATTAATAATTATATTTTTTTAAATGTCATGTTGACTGGATGTAACAATACCTACAGATTTCAATGCTTTTCATTGTTATATTGGCATAACTGCTTTATTTAACAATAACTTCCTTTATTGCCCGGTTGTAGCCCTATGCCGAGAATATGAGACATTTTGATAATAACTGACACTTGCAAATTTGTCTCTTTTATACATTAGGACTTCTTTTCTTTTCTTTGGTTGTTTTTTGGCATTTAGAGACAGAGTCTCGCTGTATAGACTAGACTTGTCTTGAACTCCCAACAATCCTCCTGCCTCTGCCATTGAGTGCTGGGATTGCAGTCATGTGCCATCACGCTTAGCTGCATTTGCAGGTTTTATTCTAGATAGTGCTAAAGCACAAATGATGTGGGCCTAGCATACAAAGCCTGGGCTTCTTTGCTGAAACTCTTTGACATGACAGTAATGAGCCAAGATCTGAGGCCTTGGTCATAACCAATTCATGTGGTAAATGTAGTTTTTCAAGTCACTAATTTTTGATGTTGCTGTATTTATTTTACACTCTTTTAGGCTTTACAAGAAGAACTAGAGACCCGGTCTAATCAGGTGCGAAGTGCAGAGAAAAAGTTACAGCACAAAGAACTGGAGGTGCAGGAGCAGGTAGGTCCTCTCTGGCTACCTTGTTCCTTCCTTGTCTCGTTGTGTCAGTGTGTCAGCTGGGGTCCTCTGCCCACTTGATGGTCAGAAACAGAGGATGATCAGAAACAAGGGCAAGCATTACCACACACATCAAGAGGTCAAAGACAGTGAAGGCTCTGGGACTGCGGCTCTGATATTCTGATGGCTCTACCTCGTTTGGTGGCATAATTCTCAGTGCAATTCCAAGAAGGGTACAGCAATGTCACACACATCCCACCCGTATCTGCACTATCTGCAGAAGGTAGTCAGTTCCTAGAATCGTCTTCGAAAGAATAAGGAACTGATTTAGATTCACTCCTCCGACTTCTTTTATACTGTTTTGGCTACAGCAGGTCACATGCTCAGCCCAGCATGTCCCATGAAGGCCAAGAGGACTGAGATTTCCTCAACTAGCCAGTCAGACCCACCAGCTGATAATGGAGTTAGGCAAGAAAGGAAAGAAAAACACAGAAGCAGAGAAATAAACATTGGGTAGGCAGCTGACAATGTTTAAAAATAAGTTGACATATATTCTGATTTCCCTTCAGATTGTATAAAGCCCCATAAAATAAATGGACATTATTTAGTTAACAGGCATAAATAATATTTTCTTTTTAATTTTGATGTTCTCTTTCTTTTCATTCTGTTAATAAAATAAGCTATGACAATACCTATTTCATTTTCAAGTGACAGGCTTATTTTTACTCAACTCTTAGGTTTAATGAATTATGGTAAGTGGCAATTTGACACTTTAAAAGCTTTAACAGTGGACCAACACAGAACATGAGTGTTAATAAGAATCCTGGGAGATGCATTGTCCTCAGCCACTGGGGACAGTCTTGCCACAATGTCCTCCACATCACAGGACACCACACACAACTCACCAGGAGCACTGCCAGATCTCCATACCTGAGCTGAGTTGGTAAAGCTCAGTACAGGCTCTCAGGATTGGTCATTTGACTTTTGAAAAACACAAATGTTCTGGTGTCGTAATGAGGCACTGCTCATCTCTAGAGATGTGAACAGAAGGGGGCTCAAGGCAGACAGTGGGGCAAAATGGTGCTGAGTTCTAAAAGTTGCTGAATTGTGCTGTTGTCAAATAAGTCCCCGTTCTGTAGCTTGTCTCTTCATTCTTTCAACAGACTCAGCAACCAAAATGTTTTTATTTAAGTTCAGCTTATCAGCTTTTCCTCATATGGATCATGTCCTTAGTGTCAAGCCAGACAACTTTTTCCTAACATTAAGTTCCAGATTTTCTCCTTTTTCCTCTGAAGTTTTACAGCTTTTTAATTTACATTCAAGTATGTGATCCATTATGAGTTAATTTGTATATTAGGATTTGGGGCTTAAAATGAAAACTTACTGACTTGACTTGACTTGACTTGTCAAGTGACTTGACTTCCTATAACTTCTTGCCATGCCATAGTGTAGTTCCTGTATAATATAGTACATATATATGTATATATATATATATTTCTGTTTTTATAAATTCATATGCATGCATTTATATATTGTGTATTACATAGTTTTTTTACATACAGTCAAAAACAAGGTGGGAATACTTTGATGAAAGTACTTATACTTTTCAGATGTCTACAAGGGGACAGACATTGTTCCAGAAGCACTTAATCCTCCCTGTGTCCAAAGAAAGTCAGCATGGCCATCTCCAGTTTTCAGATGGCCATGTAAGACCACACCTAGCAGAGATGTTCCAGACATAAGGTCATCTGAATTCTAGACCTTTGTTTCTATCTCCTGATAACTTTGAGATTCATTTCCAGTTAATATAAGAAAAGAAAAAAACAAAAAAAACAAACAAACTGGTGCTGGTTTCAAATCATAGGATGGCAAGAAGACAAACCTGGAATTCTAAATGCCTCTGACAGTAGCGAGTGTCATTGACCTTCTACAGGTAGAGGAATGCAAAGGAAATGAACGCAGGACAGATTTGGCCACAGGTGGAAAATGTACCCTTCAGTGGGAGTGTGGTGGCAGGCAGGTCCAAGTAGCATGGGTCTAATTGTCACCGGAAGGTCACCTGAGCACCATTCTCTGTTCAGGGCACCTCTAACTAAAATAATTAAAAAAAAAAAAAAAAAAAAAAAAAAGCTTTTGTAAAGCGGAAAACTTTCCGGGGTCCCTGGAGGGCTGCAGCTTCTCCATTTTGTGGTAAAATGTGACTTAAGGTAATACTTTGTTGACACCACTTAAATTCATGGCAAAACTTCACACAGAAAATTCCATAATAATGTTGAGAGTTGGGAAATCGAGAAATCCCAAATGAACAATAGGGAAGGATTCAGGAACTACTTTCAGCCTTTTTTTGTTGTTGACTTCTTTTTGATCATCAAAGTTGCTTTCATGTTTGCAGTGACAATAGCGTTTTAGAATATTTCTTACACTGATTCCTGATATCTTCTATTAGGCTACAGTTTACGAAAGAAACATCAGGAAATACCCGTGGAAAAAGCTGCATGTTCTTAGTCATTGCCACCAAGAGGTGTTAGGTTCTTTCCACAAGTTCCTAGGCTGCAGCTGGAACTGAAAAGCCAGTTTCAACAACAAAAAAAAAAAGCAAGGAGTCTGTACTTAATAAATAAATAATATTCCTCTAACTTATTTAATCTTTTATCTAAATTTGACTCATGTTCCCCCTTTCAATTGATGACACCAAGAGAAATAGTCAGAAAGGATTAGGACTCCTACGATGGTGGTTTCTTAGGGTCTGCTTCTGTGTGGACCTAGGAGAGCTAAAATGTTGACAGCATTATAATATGCCTCTCCTTTTTATCACCCGTCAAAGTGACTGCAGTAACAGTAGCTAGCCGTACATCACCCAATCAAACAACTGAAGTGAATGTAAAACAGCTACTTAGAATTTTCTTCTCTTTCTTGTCAACTAAATATCATTATCCTGATACTGGTTGCATAAAAAAATCAAATTGAAACTGGCAGAATTACAAAAGACAATTTCCTAGGCTGCTTTTTATAACTTAGTTACTTTAAAAAAAAAAAAGTTTAAACTGTTTCTGGTTTTCATTTAAGAAAAATTCCTGTGTTTTGATTTTACAAAAACAAAAAAATGAATGAGGCATTTTAAAAGTTATGTTTTTAATTAAAAACAAAAGGCTGCTTCTCATCAGGTCTTGATGGGTGGTATCCTTTCTACCCACTTGCCTCAGTGCCGTCAACTCTTCTCTGTATTCTCCACTGGCAGAACAGCAAGCCAGGCAGGGCCACAGAGCACACCTTCATCAGCGGTCCAGAGGAAGCCCCGGCCCTCTGCAGACTCAGAGAACTAGAATGAAAAAGAACTAGTTTCCTAAATTAACCTTGCGAAAGCACGACCCTCCACAATCCCCGAATAGTAAAGTAGTATAATCACCATTAGACTTATCCACACCAGGAATTAGCGTTAGTCCTAATTCCAGAAAAGATCTGGGCAGTAAACCCATAGCTACAGGAAAGGGTGAAGTCAGAACTCTGATCAGACTTCATCTTGAGCAAAGAAACAGCCCTCCAGAAAGGCTGTGCTGTCTCTGATATATGGCACGGAAGTAGCTGACCCAGTGAAGGCTGGGTATGCTGTGCCCCCTCTCTGGACATTATTTTCCATCATGGTAACACAGCATAAAATGTACAGATGCTATCACTCGAGTTCAGGTGCAGATCAGAATATCATGGCTAAAACTAAAATTCACCTGTAGGATCAAATGCTTTATAATTCAAAAGGCGAATAGATGATTTGATCTGGCAAATTTTAGAGAAAAGAAGGGGGAAAAAAAGTTAACCTAAACTTTGGCTTGGTATTTTTAAGTCTGGATAAAGCATATTTTTATAACAATGTCACTAGGCAGTGTCATATTCTAGCTTGATATAAGTGTAGGTACTGAGCACCTGTCACAAGTCCCCTGTTTCAGACTGACTGGTGATCTGAAAGTTGAAAACATGATTGGCTTTCATATTGATTTAATTGATTTTGCCAGGAGCTAAGGAAAGATTTCATTAAGTCTCATGGTCTCTTGATACATTGTTGACTTTCTCCTTTTTCATTCTTGATTACATTGATCACTTTATTTCTCATAAAAATTATTTTAAATAAGTTATTTTTTAAACCAACACTTTAGAGGCTTCCTAATAAATAATCTACAGTGCTGACCATTTCATAGAAGAGGCTTTCTTTTCTCCTCGGTGATTTTTTTTTTTATTTTCTCCCCACCTGGTGCTGAGGATGGAGGCCAGAGCCACTAAGCCATGTCCAAATGAATGTCACAATGCCAAGAAGCCAGGTGTGCCTGTGGACTCCAGGCAGGGAACTAAAGTGGGGGCTTTTGCTTCCACAAGGCTAAGTTATGGAAAGAATGAAAGCCCTGACACTACTTCACATGTTCTTGGTCCCTGGGGAGAGCAGGAGTGAGGATTCACCCTGGAGAAGGTTAGGTTTGTCTAGAGTTTGGCCCTTTTGACAGGGGGTCATTTCAAGAGCCTCAGGAACAAAGCAGCCCCCTCCCTGGCTGGTCAGGAAAGAGCTACTCCGGCAGCCTTCAGTGAAAAGCTCCTGGTTCTTACCTACCTCGCTACCTGGGGTACCTGCTGTAGCTCCTAATAGTGTGTGATGTGTCCACATCTAGACTGTCTGGGCACAGTCAGCCCACAAGTTGTCCTTAAATATATAGTTTCTAAAAGTCACTCACCCCTCACATTTTAGTCAGCGCTTTGTAAACCCAACTTCATGATTACAGTCTAAATACATTGGTTAATTTAAGAGAGAATTAGTGGCAAAGCCAGTCTCAGTGGTCACCATGTGCTTGAGTCTGAGACCCCAACAAGACAAAAGCCATCCAGCAGGAAAAGCATTGCAGCTCTAAACCCACCCGTGTCACTACTAGCCATACATTCTTAGTCATGTCCCTTCTTCATCCGTCAACTGTAATACCTGCCTACAGGGCTCTTGGGACCATCAAAACAAGATAGCAGATGTA